ATTTATGTGACGAGGCACCCGTTCCCGACTGCACCGGACGCGAATTTTTTATAAAACGAGAAGTTAATCGTAGTTAGTACAGTGTTATAGACAGAGCGTATACTGTATTTTTGCCGTTACCTGGAATGTTTGCCTCTCGTGCTCGGAAAGATATGCTTCAAAAGCTTCCCACGATGAAAATGACCTTCTTTGGATCTCACTTCCAACTTTCAGTCTGTTATCATCTGTGTCTCCACTCAGAGAATGAAGGTATGCATCGGTCGACCCCAACAAAGTCTTTCTGCTATTGTTGCTCGTAGTGGCATCGTTCGACGTCATATCAGCTTCGACACATGTAGCTTTTCTTTCCCAGTACTACTAACAGTGAGCTGCGGTTGCGGCTGACAGCTAGCTTCAGCCCCCGGAAGTGGGTCCATGCGATCGTCTCTCGTCAGCATTCCAGTGTTGTGGTTGTCTCGTCTGCTTGGCGAGTCGATGAATGATAGCCAGGCATGGGCGGCACACTCGATTGCTCCAACAATACTTTGGTCCAGACCCCATATTTGAAGAGGCTGTTTTCCGCAGGCGCTATCGAATGTCAAAACGCTTGTTTTCTCAGATTGCAATTGGTGTAACGAATGACGACTCTTACTCTGTTCAGAAACAACATGCAGCGGGTCTAGTGGGAATATCCAGTTTCCTGAAGATCACGGCCGCGCTAAGAGTTCTTGCATATTCTTCATCTTTTGATGCTATTGATGAAAACTTAGAGATTGCTGGGCTTACAGTCAGTCAGTGCATCGATCACTTTTGTGATGCACTTATTGTTGTTTTCGGTGATGAGTTTTTGCGTCCACCACATAAGGAGGAACTAGAACGTCTTCTTAAACAGAACGAACGTCGTGGCTTTCCTGGAATGGTCGGCTCGATCGAGTGTATGCATTGGGTATGGAAGAATTGCCCAATGTCTCTGGTCGGTCAACACAAAGGAAAAGAAAAGAAGCCTACAAAAGTCCTTGCGAATTTGGCATTACAATTTCGGTTCTCCTAGTTCTTTGAGCGACATTAATATTTTAGAGCGGTCCCCTCTCTTTGATAGCGAGGTGAAGCACTGCAAGTCACGTATACTGCCAATAGTACGTGTAAAAGATATTAATACTGTGAGCGAAAAAAAACTAATTCAAAATGTTAGCTTGAATGTAACTCTTACGATACACCCTACATGCTGGCGGATGGAATTTATCCTGAATGGTCGGTATTTGCAAAGTCAATCGAGAAGCCGATAGATAAAAAGCGCAAGAACTACTCAAAGCGTCAAGAAGGTTGTCGGAAAGATGTAGAACGGACCTTCGGGGTGATTCAAGCGCGGTGGAGGGTTCTAGATACGCCATGTGAACTTTGGCGTGCTGCCAAAAAGGACAAGGTGATGCATGCATGCATCATCATGGACAACATGATTGTGGAAGATGAACGTCACTTACGTGATTCAGCTCGAATCGACTTTCTATTTGAAGTTCGTAGTCAGCCTGGGGGACTTCCGGAGTTTACAGTATCGCGACCGGCTCGTGCTTCAGGTCACGACACTGTCGAGCAATTGATTGTCCACACTTCGAAGCTTCGGAATGCACATCAAAGAAATCTCCCAGTGCACGAGCATTTACACTACGGTGCAGCTTGTAATGTTCGACTCGCTAAGCGCAGTACTTGCTGCATCAGACGATGCGACTGCCAATCCGTATGTGCTTGGGTCGACGGCGCGTTGAGCTATAGCATTGCTGCGGTTACCGACCGCGTCACCGTTGACGGACATCTTCGCCCGTATTCATTGGTGCAGCTAATGAAATCGATGACCCTAACTGCTCACTCAAAGCTTCAACACGAAGTCGTTTTAGGACAGTTTGCTATTTCAACATCAAATATTCAGCTACGAGGGGGTCGTTCGGCGCCTCCTGCGCAGTAAATAAGCTCAGATCGAGCTGTTCCTGGGCAACTTTAACGCGTTTTTTCGGCATTTTCTGCAGCGCGTTCTGCTGCTTTGACTTGGCGTGCATACAAAGCTTGATTCGCCCGGTCAAGTTTTGCTCGGGTTACGCCTTGGACCCGAACAGTTTCAGCAGGAGGAGAACGTTCGCTTGAATTAAGGGAGGCATTGGAAGAACTGGTCTCCTTAACCTTGTTGTAGAAGTCGTCGCCGGATTGATAGATGCCATTTATTAGGTCGCAGCTCACGGACAACCACGCTTCACACAGCACCTAGTCCTCGACAGGTTTGTAGTTGACCCCGCGCACCTTCGAAGGCGTTGCGCTGCTCTGCATGCCGCTGGTTGGCCGCTGCTATTCTGAAGGCCAAATTTGGCTTCCAGTTTGGCATTAGAAGGCCTCTTGCTAAATTTGTCACCCGGATAGCAGAAGTGGTGGAGGCGTAAAAGCTATTCTTCGCAGCTAAATTTGGCTTTGGCAGCAGGATAGCAGCACTGGTGAAGATGCTCTTATATGCGTTGAGGCGGAGACGATGTCTTGCATACTACTCAATTGGTGGACCTGTCCAAGAATATGATCTCGAATATGCTGAAGGTAATAAAAGATAAGTTATAAAGAGATTTGGACACTCAAAACGACTAAAAATAAGACTGACAAACGGAAAAGGTCTGTGAACCTTGACGGATGCCAGAGTACTATATTTAACAGCTGAATGGGTCACCAATCGAGGGTCAGATCCAAAGTAAATAAACACCGCACAGCCATGTCACGACTTATGTTCAAGGCCCCCACTGAAGTTGTCAAGCTCTCCTATTGGGGTTTTACAGTCTGGTGGTTCATCATCCCCGGCGTTCATGTGGTCACTTGTGTCTACACTGCGTTGTACAGCTACTCCTATTGGGTATTAATGGACACTTATCTAAACAACTACCTCGAAACTTTCGAGATCGGCATGCCACCACCATATCATCACACCATTGCTATTGTCCATGCTGTACTGTCTGTATTGCACGCGGTAGGTATCTTGTTGATGCTGAGTGGATCGATTTGGCAGCGGTCTCTTGCTTTTACTCCATTCTCTACTTGTGATGCTGGCGTCACAAGCGACGAAGTCAAGTCGAATCGAACGAGCTCGGCCTTGCTTCAAAGCTTTACGAAAGTCTACACTAAAATTTCAGATCGTCACGGCTTGTTCGGAGTTAACGGGGTCCATTTTCACGTGCTGCTCATCGTTCGAGAAGTCATTGAGACGGGATTGCAAACCATTCAAGCTTATCGCATGAGTGTGCTACTGCCAAGAACGCTGCTTAACCGATTTTTCGTCATTTTACTTGTGACAAATTGCTGGTCTTCTGTTCTGGTTTACTCGGCCTTTTTCAAGGGTGACGAGGCTAGCAGGCGGTTTGCGTGTATAGTTTTGGACTGTGTGCTCGATCTAGTATCCTGCATGGGTGTGGAGCTGATCATTGTGTTGAGCTACGCAAAACAGTATGATCTCCAAATGTGGGGATTCTCAGATTACTTATGGCGCAATGACGAGTGGGCAGCACGTGTACTAAATGAATTTCGGATGGTCTTCGTGGTCTCCTGGTCTGATCTGGCAAGTCGCGCCATCTTTTCTATTGGATTAATCCTAACGACAACAAATATGAAGGAGTTATTGCAACGACTACCACGCCAGAAAAACCAAATTGCGGAGTCGTCAAACCAATTTGCAGAGTCAACTAGCTTGAGAACTATTAAGGAGCAGATCAAGGGTGAGAAACTAAACACAGTTTTACCCACACAGTCACAGACGCCAGCAACAAATTCACGGCAGAAGACAAATTTTCAAAACAAACAAAGCTTGTAAAGAGTGGTGACAGCTATCGTGGCACTAAGCTGCGTACCCATTGTGCGCGAATCATGCTGCGTGCAGCTCATCTATTCTTTGGAGCATGGGGGATTTTAGTGCTAGGACTTCATATTCAAGCATCAGTGCAACCAACGCTACCTCAATGCCTAATGCAAGTGAGGCCGTGGGCGACATCACGCCCATCTTGCTATTTGGTCGATCTTGATTGCTATTCTTTAGCGATAACCGGTAAAATGAGTGAGGTGGAGGAGAAGTGGTCAGAATTCGATAGCTCAACTGTCGTCCAACTACTCATTCGCCACTGCCCAGCACTAGAGATGCCACCTTCCATAGGCAAATTCAACGCGCTCCATGGTATTAAAGCGTACAACTCGACTATTGCCGACTGGGGTGAATCGGCAGCATTCACTAGTGCGAACCACCCGAACATTCTGTCGATTTACCTCGTTCGCGTCAACATGGCAGACGGTTTGTTGCCAACTGGATTCCATTCGAGTGATTTTCCGCCGAATCTTTTCGACATTGAGCTCTGCGTTACGAACCTGCGTGCAGTAATCTCGACCTCAAGTGGCCACGAAAAGCAGAGATTTTGCTCGAGTACTGCCAGTTGACGAGCATCCCTTCAGTACTAGTGAGGCTTGAGCCTAAATACTTGGCTTTCACTGCCAATCCGATAACACAAGTTCCTGCAGAGGTTTTCGAGATCCCAGGACTTCGAACTCTAGGACTTGGACAACTGAATCTCAACGAACTACCGCGTCATGTGACGAACCCCTCTCCATCACTGAACATGATTTTTCTCGATGGAACCAATATTTCCATCTTCTGGCCGTGGATGGACGATATCGTCACAATGGAGACGTGGGGGCTCTTGGTACCGTCGCTCACTCCGTACTGCGTCGACCTCGATCAAAACGGTGTAGCCAATGCATTCAGCACTTCTCCATCCCCCGACTACGCTCCCATTCTAATGGATCCATCCCAAGCCAATGTATACCCAGTTTACTACGTTGTTTCCTGTGATCCAAGCTGGTTGGGCACATACTACTTTATCGACCTCGACGACGAAAACATGGCCATCAGTCCTGCGCCTGCTTTAGTAAGACCGTAAACTTACGACAACATGCTTAAAGTGCTCATAGTTTAAGTGTTCGAAGAAGATGCACATCCAGCAAGCACTATATTTAACGGTTCAACGGGTCACTGATAAAGAGTCCAAACACCGCGCTGCCATGTCGCGACTTGTGTTCAAGGCCCCCACGGAAGTCGTCAAGCTCTCATGTTGGGTATTCACAGTCTGGTGGATCATCATACTTGGGGTTCACGTGGTCACATGCGTGTATACTGCGATGTACAGCTACACCTACTGGATGTTGCACATTACCTATCCCAACATCTTCCTCGAAACTTTCGAGATCGACACCCCCCCCCCTCCACACACACACAATAAAAGGTTTTGCATCGGAGCCATTTCCAACCGCCGGTAGACCACTGGCATCCGTGCCAAGCGTAAAAGTAAAGCTTTCGTGATCGTCCATCACGAATCAGCTTCGGCGTCTCATCCGCGAAGTCGTTTCTACCGAGCTTCGTGCTCGTGTAGTGCTGGCAAAATCGCTGGGGG